CAACTGGTACGAAAATCATGCTGACGAATGTGCTGCAAATCATGAAGGTTCTGCAGGAAAGATGGAGGTCGACGCCGTTTTAGAAATGTTTAAGCATTCGGTTGATGAATACGGCATACGATACACCGTCTACATCGGCGATGGCGACTCGAAAACTTTTACTGCAATTTTGAAAAAGAATCCTTACGGAGATGAATTTTCGGTGGTGAAGTGTGAGTGCATTGGCCACGTTCAGGAGCGAATGGGAACGCGTCTTCGGAATTTGAAAAAAAAAAAGAGAAATTGAGAGGTAGAGGCAAACTTACTGATGCTCTTATAAAAAAGTTAAGTAGTTATTACGGACTCGCCATCAGAAGAAACGTCAACTCAATACAACATATGAAAGAAGCAATATTAGCTACATACTACCATATGTGCTCGACTGACGAAAAACCACAGCATCAGTACTGCCCTCCGGGAATCGATAGCTGGTGTGAGTGGCAACAATCGCAGGTAGTCGCAGCCGGCGTTTTTGAGCATCCACCGGCTCTCCATGAAGATTTACAAAAGCATTTATTGCCCATTTATGAAGATTTATCGAGAGAAGATCTACTGCAAAGGTGCTTGGGCGGACATACCCAAAATGCGAATGAAAGTTTTAATGCTCTTGTATGGCGCTTGGCTCCTAAGCATCTGCACTGTGGTTCAAAAACCGTTGAAATTGCAGCTTGGATTGCTGCTGGATTATTTAATGACGGTTATAAATCAATCCTGCAAACAATGAACATCCTCGAGTTCACTATTGGAGCGCCTACTTACAACTACGCCCAAAAGATGGATGAAAACCGAATAAAGCGTCAAGAGCTGAAGAGTTCGAGTGCCACAAAGGAAGGTAGATTGGCTAAAAAAGCAAGAGCTGCTCCTGAAAAAGATGAAGAAGATGACCTCCTTTATGGCCCAGGCATTGCTGATTAAGAAAAAAATTAAAAAGTAATGGTGAGTCAATCAAAAATGCGATTTTCGGCTACCGCGAACTTTAAACGCGTTTTACTTGAAAAGGAAATTTCTTGACTGTCCGTGTTTGGGGGCATAATTTCTTGGCAAGTTTTTAACTTATTAAAAAAAAAAAATAGCATTTTGAAGATAATTTAAAAATCTAGTCGATGAATCTACTTGTTTTTGAAATAAAAATTTATTTAACCACTATTTTGCAATAATAATAAAAAAAAATGTTACAATTTTTTTTCAAAAGTCCACCATTTTGCTATGGAATTTTTTTATACTTTAAATTTAGGTTAGTCGACGAGATTTAGACCTTATAATAACAAAAAAATTCTTCTTTTATGTTTCAGAGAGATACGACGACGACAAGTGTGCACACAAAATTGGGGGAAAAAAAAAAGTTGTATTGTTCAACATGTTTTTTTACAACTTTTATAAACAAAATAATGTAAAAAAAAATATTTAATGCATCTTCAATGTTTAAGCAATAAACTATAAAATTTTCAACTAAAAATCTTGTATAGTTTAAGAAAAAAAAAATCGCAAAGTTTTGGTTCATTTTTGCCCATCTATATAGGGATACCCCCTTAAGGTAGCGAACCATCAAGGCGATCCCTCGCCGGATGGCTTTTTCTCTTAGTATACGAGGGTGGTCCGATAAGTACTTAGCCTCATCGCCCGATGGCGCCACTCTCGCAAAAGAAATATTCTATTACGTAGTACAACCTTCTCGATGATTACTGTCAAGATTTCAGCCGGATCGGAGTTGTAGTTTATTTTTGAGAGCGTGTGAAAGCAACTGTGTCCGTTGATTTTTGAAAAATGGAAAAAGAGCAGTATCCGTCGGTGATTCGATTCTTGTTTTTGGAAGGGAAATAGCGCAGCGAAATCAAAAAGCTCGTGGATGCTGTGTACGGTGACTCTTCTCCTTCGATGGCGACCGCCAAAAATTAGTTTAACGAGTTTCAACGTGCGACCACGTCGATTTTTAAAAGAACCACGTCCAGGTGCTCCGAAAACGGCTACCACGGAGGATAACACAACAAAAATTCACGATCTCGTATTGGCAGATCGACGATTGAAGGTGCGCGAGATAGCTAAGATCGTAGGCATCTCAAAAGACCGCGTGGGTCATGTCCTGCATGAAATGTTGGGCTGAGAAAGCTGTCGGCGCGATGGGTGCCGCGTTTGCTCACTCCGGACAACAAGCGCAACCGTGAGACAACTTCAGAGCAATGTCTGACGCTGTTTAAGCGCAATCCGAAGGAGTTTCTGCGTTGTTTCATGACAGTCGACGAAACATGGATCCACTGGTATACACCAGAAACCAAGGAACAGTCGAAACAGTGGACTCTACCCGGCGAAAGTGCTGCGAAGAAGGCGAAGACTGCCCCATCGGCCGGAAAGGTGATGGCCACCGTTTTCTAGGATTCACAAGGTATGATTTACATCAACTACCTGGAAAGGGGCAAAACGATCACAGGGCTGTACTATGCCGAATTATCGGGCCAATTCGACGTCGAATTGCAGAAAAAACGGCCCCATTTGGCGAAGAAAAAAGCGCTCTTCCACCATGACAACGCACCGGCTCACATCTCCGCCGTCGCCATGGCCAAATCGGTGGAATTAGGCTATGAAATTTGAGTCGAATGAGGAGGTAATCGCTGCCACGGAAGCCTACTTTTCAGACCTCGAGGAAACGTATTTTTCAGACGGGTTAAAGAAGTTGAAGCATCGCTGGGCCAAGTGTATCGAACTAAAAGGAGACTATGTTGAAAAATAAAACGCCACTTTTCCAAAATGTTCGTTTTTCTTTTGTAGGATAAGTACTTATCGGACCACCCTCGTAAGTAGACTATGTCGGTTTATCGTCAAGACGATCACCTGCCGGGCGACACGTTCTATATATCGGTTCAATCTTTGTAAGCGCGGTAAATTAGTTAATTTGTTCATTATCTTTTATTGCTTAATATGCGTTGAGAACACCGTTGTATTCAGTAAGGTTAAGGCGTGTTTGTAACACCGTTGTGTTCGTTAGAGATTAAGGGTTTTGTAAAGGTTTTAGTATTTATAATTAGACGGTATGATCATTTAATGGTATTTGAAGTGTGATTTTTGTTAATTATATTTCTTTACCTTTCCTCACTCCCTCTTTGCGATTGCTATGAGCGAGTGCGCCTTACTTGCCCACCTTTAAAAAGAATGAAGCGAGTTTTCTTACACGCCTTGATATCCTTGTCTACTACTGCCCGCGCTGCCGTGACACTTATACGATTAATCTGCCGTGAGCAAGGTTGGTAATGTATAATAGAGCTCGGGATCAACTCCGTGAGATGCTCAGACTCCAGGCTGCACCAATCCAGAGTCATCGATCGGCGAGCCCAAGATATGGAAGCCACGGCACTGCTATGAAAAATGGTATAGGGTGAAGGTCGCGCATGCTCAGGCTCGAGAGGTGTTCACAAATGACACAACCATGTTTGTAGCTTAGGGGGGAATCGGGATAGTTTCTGCGGGAGATGAGATGGTTGAGATACCGAAAGTTCTTCGTCCAGTCGTGTCAGAGGTGTCCGGGCAAAGAATCTTGTGAAAATGCCTCCTCACTGTCGAGGGAACAACTTCGGGCGCTCAGGCTCCGGTATTTGGAGGCCTTAGAGCTGCAACTATTATTGATAATATTTTTTAGTTTTCTTTGTACTTTCACGGTTTTGGTAACAAATTGACGTGCGTGGTTACCATTTCTTAGGTGGGGAAGAATATCTTGAATTTGTTCTACTTTTAAGTAAAGTCTTGAGCATTAAATTCAGTTGAAAGTTTTACTTAGTTCTGATCTCATTGATACCACATTAGATCTAAGTTATTAACTAAAGATAGACTTTCGGAACAAATTTTGCTGCTACACGTTTCATGCCCAAAACTTCGGAAAAAATTGAATACCACGAATCAACGAAGATGCCGACGTTTTCAGCCACTTCTCTAATAGTGATTCGATGATTTTTTTACACCTTTTTTTTACTTATTTAACACTCTCATCAGTTATTGAAGTCCTGGGGCACTTGCCTGCTGAAGAGCGAGGTTCGCCGTCGGTGTCTTATCGGCGATCTTGTAAACATTATTTTGATTTACAGTAGACTAACCATATACCACTGTCAATATTTCAAGTGTTTTGAAGCACTTAATTCCATTTTTTTCACAAAATTTTATGCAAACTCTTTGATCATTGTTTTCGACAGCAAAAAATCACCGAGCACTAAAAACACGTCTAACGTTTCCTTCTCGCAAAAAAAAAGTAAACATACAAACTGGATGAAACTGTGAGCATATATAGACATGTATACCAATATAATAAAAAAAAATATTGATGATTGAATGTACGTAGCCCGCCCCATTTAAAAATTCACCTTAATTTTTGAACATACTTCGTATATTGATTTTATTCGTTAGTGATAAGATTTTGCCTTATGATAAAAGGTGTGTGTAATTATTTTATTTACATATCCACTTTTTCCTCCCTCGATTGCTTAGAGCAGAAGTGTCTCTTTTAGCCCCCTACTAAGAATTAGTTGCAAAAGCACGGTGATAATGTACCTTTTTGTTTCAGGTAATTCAAGAAATAACTATTGCTTCCTGATTTGACATTTAGATGACATTGTCAAATATTTTTCTTTGAGTTAATTATTATATTCCTGTGTAAAATGGAACGCTCGATTAATTTTTGGCATAAAAAATATGTAGAATCATATTTAAATTATTTATAACCGTTTTTTTAAATTTTTTCAAAATCTCTAGATTTTTAATTTTTCACATTCATCATATTGCAGAACAAAGTAGAGCACAAGCCAAAAATTTTTAGCCCGTCCAAGAAATTTTTGGTAATCTACAATTTGAGATAGAGAATTAGCCGTTTGACATAGATTTATATATATATATATATATATATATATGTACACTTCATATGTACTTAAATTTTATAAGTTATCTTATTTTACTTGTTATTAAACTGGTGCTGTGAACAAAAGAGCCACAAGACTATTGAATCGAGATTCTCCTTGGATTGAGTGAATTAAATCATTGATGAGGAAATAGTAGATATTTGGAGCTCGTTGCGGTAGCCTATCTATCAACTTCAAGATTCATGAAATTTTGATCCACTAAAACTAGAGAATCATATAAGAAAATATCAAAGTAAGTGTTTGGTCATTTTCTTTATTATTCCCATCCTATTTTATTTTTTTTTAAATACTACTGTTAAATATAAAGAAAATAGTGAGTTAATTAAAATATAATAAATACGAAAGAAATTATAATATAGCAACAAACACAAATATAAACTTTTAAACGATTTCAAATTAAGTATTTTCCGCTAAGCTATTCCGAAACACGAAAGTGGTACTAGAATTTTTTATTTACTTTATTCAATTATTCCGTTGAGCTATGCTAATTTAGCTATGATCAAAGAAACAATCAATAATGTTTTATTTTCTCTTATAAAATCCAAAATTGTTGGAAAAGCTTTAGACTTAGTAATTATAAGATGCAAATAGTTGGACAGCATCAAAAGTATTATTAAACGCTAGATATAGTAATCTTGAATTTGATGATTTAGTATTCACTAAACGTAGTCATTTCTATCACCGTTCAGAAAAATATAATGGTGATCTTAAATATCGTTTAAATTAAAGAAAAGAGCACATTCAACTGAATAATAACGATAACAATTTTTTTTATATGAAAAATATATTTTATAAAATTATTGTTATCAATACATTAGAGATAGGATTCTTTAATTTCCTGTAGCAATATTTTCATTTATCTTATTTTGAATTAGAAAATATTGGATCTTATTTTCATAAATTGCTGAATATACAATAAATATGATTAACAATTGGCTTTCTTTACTTTTAGCGACAATGTAATAGCAAACCTAAAACAAATGGTTTTGGTTTACCTTCATCAAAAGTGTTCTTAGGCGAGAAACATTAAGAAATATAATATTAATTGAATTTCGATCTTTAGTTTCTACTGCAACACACTAATGTCGTTTTATAGTCCTGCAATCTTCTGTTGTAAATATTCGGTTTAATCAATTTCTTAGGAGTCAAATGGTATAATTTTAATCGATTACCTACAGAGTGGAAGAACTATTACAGGAGAATATTATGCTTCATTATTAGATCGATTTGATCGATTTAATTTAAAGGAAAAGCATCCCCATCTAGCGAAAAAAAAGTTCTTTCCCACCACAACAATGCACCCAGCTTACAGGAGTTCCATTACTACGAAAAATTATTTGATTTACGATACAAAATATTTCCACATCCACCTTGTTATTCAAATTTAGCCCCTTCCGATTATTTCTTTATTATATTTTAACATGAAAATAAGAAATATTGCTGCGACAAATGAGCATTTTCAGGAGTTTAATAAAAACTACTCTTCAGGGGGCATAAGAAAGCTTTATTACCACTATAATAAATGTATAGAGTTAAAAACTATATTGGAAAATATATTGGAATTATTTAAACATATAGTGTGTTTTTATTTAAAGTCACGGACTTATTGAACGATCTTCGTATGTGCCCGCTCCTCAAGCTTATCAAAACGCTAGAAAAGCAAATCCAATGTGTTTACTGGAATGTAAATATGATTTACTAGGCAGTTCCGGAACTACAAGAAAATGGTTGTTAATGCTGGGGCGCACTGTACTTCTATTCAACCTCACTGGTTCAGGCTCCGGAGGCGGTAATAATGGACTCTGTACGGCAGGCGAGGAAGCCGCAGATACGAACAACGCGTGCGATTCGGCGACATGGTTAGCATTATGCACTCTCGAAACAGGCGTCTATGGTCTGATGTCTTGATGACACCTTAGTCACTCGGGATAAGTGCCTATATATCAGTATCACATTTTACACTCTTGTCAGTTATAGTTGCTGTACTGTGCCGCTCCGTAGAAAACCGTTTCTTATTCAACGACGATAGAAACTTTTTCATTTGGCTGTCCGATGCCGATGTTATTCTCGATTTGGCTCTTAGAATGCTGTGTGATGCAGCACTGGGCGTGGTTGTTTTATCGGAGGATAATTTCTTCATCCTTTTACATAGTTCATAGAGGCTATTTTTCACATTCCCGAACATTGTGACATTACTTGTGATATCCCGGACAAACTTTAACTGTTTCTTAGCAACACACACAGCACAATAGATAATTGAAATTATCTCAATCGATCAACTTATTACTCTTGGAAATAATGGTCGTAAACCAATAACAAAAAATCAAACTTATCAATCTATGCCAATGTCAATAATGAAGATAAGGTATATAAATAGACAAACTAATACGACTAATTATTATAAATCCAATACTGTTCCATCTAATGTGAATCGTTAAATGTCATTAATTATAGAATGACTATTAATTATAGAATAAGAGTAATTATTTTTTTTCAATATCATATCAGCAAATTTTATGTCAGAGAAACTTCATCAGCAGGAGTATTCGTTACAAGAATCAAGCTGTCAAAAATAATATAATCTGATAAATAAAGAGCAAACTAGGTACGATGTTGAAGACGTTGAGTTACTCGCGCACGTGCAATACAATCAAAAATTCAAATTTGTCTGTCGTTGGCGAGCTTCCATGAGTATGATGGCGACAACATAGTCTATAGAATTTCATTCTGCTCATGCGTAAGACCATCACGTCACTTAGTTGCTACCTAGCTTTCATGACTGAATCATGTGTATGGAAATTTCTCCGAATTTCCTGCTTGTTTCCTCAGTTTTCCGCAGTGAAAGGCGCAAATCAACATATTGCGCAGTTCCTACCTCTCATAAAATAAATCCATCTGCACTATGGAGTGTGATGTGAATGTGTGTGAGAGTAATGGCGTCCGAGAATTTCTTTAATTTCTTTATTAATAGTGTTACATCGACTTTACGCACTGACGCAAGAAACACTCTGCCCCTACGAATATACGAGCTACCTTTGTAGCACCTTGTAGTTGTCTCATATGAATTCCTGGCGTTTATTTCTACAAGGTGCGCCAGCGAGATCAACCGTCATCATTTTTGTGTGTAGATGCGTTTGCGCGCGAGTGATCGTGTGGTCGTGCAGCGTTTCCGTAAAACACATTAACTCTCATATTTTCGCACAAACGTGAACGCTGTTATTTATATACGTGCGTGTGCTTTCATTCATTCATATAATTAATCAATAAATCTTGATTTTTTTATACCTCACGCCTTTTTTCTTATAATGTGTGTGAAATTATTTTTATCCTGGATCCTTAGTCTTTCTCTCTGAATTTATTTAAAAAAAATTTGTTAGCGGAATCAGTGCCATCTAGGGCATGCCATACAACAAAAGACTGACCGAAGTAATATAATAAATTGTAACTCAATCAGTAAGTCCTGTTGACAAAATCTAGACTGACTTTCTACATGGATTATGAACTGGAAATCCATATGGATTCATATGAATTCCAAATGGATTTGAACTACATTTCCAAGATAGTTTTTTAGATATAATTGAAATATTTATTAAGCGATTCAATCAAACTATTTTATAAAAACTTATCTATAGCAAATATATTAAAATTCTTTTTATAAATATATTCTTTTTATAGATACTTTTCTAAAACTAGCTGTGTCAATGTCTGTTTATAATTCTCTCTGGTGTTTTCAAACTTTTCATAATTAGGAAATCAAAATACAAAAATATTCCATTTAAAAAAGAAGTAACAAAATAATGATATAAAACTAGTAAAATTAATTCAAGTATAATTTTTAATCAATAATATTATAAAAGCATTTATGTAATTTTTTCTTTTGTCAAATGATCCTTTATAATGGTGTTTGACTTTCTACCGTTTGACAAGGAGTGTCAATAGTGTGGCTGTTAGATTTTGTTGAAACTATATACACCCTTTTCATCCAAAATATGAGATACGTGTCCTTCGATTTCTTTGAATATGTTTTTTTTTATTAATCATCCACATGTAATACTATTTATAATTTAATATTGAATTAGATATACAGCGAAGTTATAAAGTTTCAGTATTCACAAGAGGCGCAAACACTCAGCTCACCGACACTATTAACAAATTATTTATTAAGGAAGAGAAGGGATATATTCATATAACATATAAATTCGTTCAGCCTAATGATCCGGATGGGGGACCGGATCACGCAATAATGCTGGTAAGGATTCGGATGAGACGAAGACGGGCACATGAATTGACTCGCATAATTGACTAAATAATTACACTTTTTTATTTGGCGACTATTATACACTCTTTTATTTACTTTTATTTTTCTTCTATATTTATAAGAGATCTTTACATTAGCGATGACTTCGTACACCGCGCGGTGGCCCATAACACAAGCAGCTTGCTTGAAAGAACGCACTCGGTTACGCTGGAAAATTGCAAGGTTCCCTGCTTTCAAGTTAGCTCATCTACATGTCGCACATACGGACGCAAGAGAGAAAGAGACAGAGTAAGCCGCTCATTAATCGTCGGCTGTGGACTTCAGGGGTGATCCTCCTCTTACTGCTACTATTCCGCTGTGACCACCGTGGGCTTCTAACCGCTACGCACTGATGATCGTCGATACTTCCAGCCCACCGTGGTAGGCGAAGTCAGTTCAATGTCGGGCGCCATACTCCGGCCAGTGTAACGACCAATCTCGTCCATTGCTTCTGCCTCTGATCCTCGAATCCTTGCGTCTGATCGCTACGGTTGCTACTTGCAATTCTGGTGGTGGTACGCTAATGGCTGTGGTGGTTGCTACTGGCTGCACACTGATTATTTTGATTCTCATGACAATAAAAATGATGAATTGATGAGAGATAGAGTGTTATCGTCAAAAATCAATCTTCTACTCGATCAGCTAGAATGCCGGTGGGGTTCCGAACTCCGCGGTGCATACTTTAAATATCGTCCATAAATTAATCTCTCTCCTTTTTTTCTCTCTGTCTCCCTCACCTTGCCGCCCCCTGAGGTAAGCGAAGCTAACGTACGTTTACTCCAAATCATTATTCATCCTTTTCTTCTTTTATCTCCCCTCTCCGACGGTTTAGCTAAGAGAATCGAAATCGTAAACGGTATTTTAAGAACTACAAAATTGAGTATGAGTGTATGAATAGTAAATACACGCTCACAGATTGGTGGTTATACGCTGAC